TACATTTGTACCCTAAAGTTCAAAGTGGGGATACAGCCTTGACAGCTTGATAGATTGGTCTTCTTTATCTAGCAAAAAAGAGGAGAGCTGCTGGGTTGCCGTGGGCTCTGCTCTATGGAGAGAGACTGGAATTGTTGCTGCCTTGGAACTGGGATTGCTGTTAAATGATCTCTGGGTTCTCAGGGAAGTTTATGGCCTCAGGTGATTTCTTAACACTTCTTTATGGGAGAGAAAGGTTAGTGAATTGTTTCACATGTTGCATGCCTTAGATGACACCCTACTGTAGGAGCCTTAAAAGCTTGAAAAAACGTATCATACATTTATCCACAAGGGAGAATATAGTGCTAGAGATTAGCAAACAAGATTCAAATGGCAAATGTCCTACTTTTAAAAATAAATGGGGCTGGCTGATCCAGTAAATGAGTGATAGTGTTCTGCCCTGGGCTTTGTAAATTAATATGTATTAAGATGATGTAAGGGAGAGAGAATTATAAGAAAGTTCCTTTTTTTCAAACAGTTCATTTAAAAAGTGAATTGCAACATTGGATGTGCAGTAATCTTGTAACAATGAGGACATGTTAATCCTTTATATAATTCTGTTCTGTATGCCATTTGAGCAATCTATTCTTCTTCTAGTATTTACATACAATACACTTCATTACTTGCTAGAAATTATTGCTCATTCACAAGATATATACCCACCTTTGCTGCAGCCTGGAATTTGTTTAAATGAAATGATATCTTGCGCCCTTTAGAGATTTGCACCTGTCTGAGAAATCTGGACATACAATTTTGCATACATTCATGCTATAATTGCATATCTCCACAGTTGTTCTCACTATTTAAGATGTTTTCCCTCTGTGTGCTTGTTTGGTGTGGTTTCTTTAAACAGTCTGGACCCTCGCACTGCTGAGAAGGTGCTTATCTATGTAATTAAGAGCATAGTTACTAGTATTAGACCTGGCATTAAATGGAGAATGAGATAAAGGGCTGTGTCAGGCTGCTGTCAGATATCAGCATGTCTGGTTGTGAGTTACTGATTCTCTTCTTTTCTCTCATTTAAAATATTAAGTCCATTTAAAAATAGATATACAGTTCTAACATAGCTACTATTGGCATTATTCCCTGGACAGATATATTCATAGATCAGTTATTAGCTAATCCCACAAATCAGACAAACAAAACAGAAAAATATTTGAAGTAAATTGTCCCTTTTAAGATGAAGGATGGAATTTTCAAAAGCACTTAAGTGACTTAGGAACGCAAGTCCCATTAAAATCACCCAAAACCTTTAAAAACAGGCTAACAAATAGTATTGTCGTATTTTATATTAATCTTATATTATTTGTATTGTGGTAGGGCTTATGTGCTGCAGAGATAAGGGCTCATTTGTACTAGCACACAACAGAAACATGCTCACTGCCTCCCAAAACTTATTACTTTCACATTTTAATTCCACTCCCTGAATATAATTTATAAATGGTATCAACTTTTTTTAAAACAATGTTTTGAAAAATATGCTATATTTAATTATGGAGGCCTTGGTTGTGACACTACACTTCAGGTTGAGTTCCATTTCACACTTAATGTTGCGATTCACATCTTTTACATACAGAATATTTTCCATAACCTCCCCAAACTTACAGCACTTTCTCTGTGAGCTAAAGAATGAATTAATTTTCAAGATTTTATAAGTAATTAAGATGAAAGCCTATGCTATTGTACAGGTGTAATTCAGACAGTTTAAAAAAACCCAAAATGTCTGAGTACTTAAAGTGGACAGTAGCAGACCACAAATCTCAGTGATAAATAAATATGGTGATATTTTAAACAAAAAGAGCTCTGAATATGCTTGTAACTGTTTCCATTGCTTCACCCTGACTCAGACAATCTAGGCTTCAGAGTGACACAGAGTGACAGTCCTGGAATGTTGTTATATAAATCTGTCAGAGTTAAACTTAATTAAACACTGGGTTCTTAAAGAAATTTATCATCTGCATCAGGGTTTTCTTGGTTTCAAATGATAGCAATAATAGAATAAAACAGACTCTTCAAACATTCCTGATAGCTAAAATTGATTCAAGTTTCATGTGTAGGTTATATTTAAAGAGATTAAGATAAAATTAAAGTTTACATTATTAACAATTTTTGTATCCACTTGTTATAAGCTACAGGCAGGGTCAGTTCAACAGCTCAGGTAACACGTAAGATGGACTACTGTGATATCAGAAGTAACTAAACCAATTACCATCCTTTCTCTAGAGCTAATTTTCATGCAACAATTCTATGGGTTGTAATGGCTCAAAGATACAAGGGAGACTGTACAGTTTACTTGGCCCAGTGGTCAATGCTCTTTAACAGTTCTGTAGCTGCATACTAATTTGAGCATCAGTGCTTGAAAGACGACTCCTCATTACTCTTCTGCCTCAGTTCTGCTATGCACCAAGGTAGCACGGCTGGGGAAACTGAACTAGAAGCATTGGGGGTAACCTAGATTTGGCTCATCATTGCCCTTCCTTTCACACAGTTTCTGTCTCTGTAATATCCCCCTCTAAACCAAAAAAAAAATCAATTGCAAATTAAAGGCCAGATTAACCACTACACTCCAGTTGCTTTGCACTGCTTTGAAGATGCAAAGCAGCTGTATATCCAGCTTAACTGTCCAGCAAGCTCTGACTGTTTTACTCTGGTGCATTTTGCCCTTAAAAGTTAAAAATACTAAATAATATCAACCTTAAATATACTACATATTTCAAACCATTAGAAATATAGCATGGTAGTTTCTCTTTGGGTTTCTTGTTTAGTATTGCAGTGTGAAATTTTTAATAAGCTGCAGCAAACCAAGGAACTCCCCAGACCAAAAACTGAGTTAAGATGAAGCTAAGGTTGAAAGCAAGCATCAATAATTTTAAAGGTAAAACTCATGACAAGAATGTTGTAATTAACTCAAGAGCAAGCATTATAAATGCAGAGTTAAGATTACATGCAACAGAAATCCAAATATGTCAGGAAATACACATTGAAGTACTCACACAATCTTAACTCTGTCCTATAGTGATATCATGATGGGAACCAAATGGAAACAGCTAATGTGCTTTTAAAAGTCAGTTCAACCTAATCTGGGACCCCAGACACAAAATGCCGCAATCATAATCATATGGCTGTTGCATGGTATCACTATAAGACAGTTAAATTGTGTAACACTTGATTTTAGACTAACTGCAATCTCTTTGTAATGTTTTTACTCTTAAATTACTAATACATATTCTCAGTCTTAACTCTATTTTAATGTAGGCTTTTTTGTATGGGACTAAATTACGCTCACCAGGGATGCAATCTGAGTAAGGCTATCCAACCATTCCACCTTATTTAGAGAACACTTCTTTTCCAGTATTAAAGTTATAATTTTGTCACCATTAGTCATATATACATCCAGGTTACATTCTTAAAGCTCCAGTTTAGAATTCAAAATTATCTTGACAAACTGGAGAAATGGTCTGAAATACATAGGATGAAATTCAATAAGGACAAATGTGAGTCCTACACTTATGAAGGAATAATCAATTGCATAAATACAATACAGCCTTTGGATTTTGGGAGCAGATCCTGGCCTAAGAATTTGGTCAGCAATGTTTCTAGGACCATATGGTAAGGGACTTCACCTTGAACTAAGTCTAGTTTAAGTTTTAATACTAAGATGTATTTTATCTTTTTCTTTTGTACCCATTTCTGACTTTAATGCCTTATACTTGTACTCTCTTAAAACCTCTCTCCATGGAGGTAAATAAACTTGTTTTATTCTTTAAATCAAAACTAATCCAGTGTTGTGAACTGTGTGGGTAACTCCATGTAGGGTGGCAAACTGTTGTATATTGACCCCTCTAGAGGGGCAACAGACCCAATATATGTGGACTGTCCAGGAGAGGACTGGACAGTGCAGAACACACATTTTTGGGGAAAATCCAGGACTAGAAGTGTGTTAGGGTCATTCTGAAAGTGGAAACCAAGGCTGATGGAAGCCAGAGTGTGACTGATGTCTGGCTTACAGGCTACAGCTATACACAAACATTCAAGGCAGTAGCAGAATGCTGTTTGGTGGTTTGTGAGGGACCCACGTGGGAGTTACAGCAGCAGAGCATTGTGAGGCACCCAAATGTGCAGGGCTGGGGTGACAGCCCCTCACTGGTCTGGGTTGTACCCCTGAATGTCAGAGGTATTTATGCCCTGTAACAGATTCCTACAAGAAAAAGAGTTTACCTGAGGGATAGCATAGTGATACAGCTCTTAATCACTTTTCACAGGCTTATACAGAAAAAGACTGAGCAGTTAAGGTTTCAAATAACCGGTGCAGAACCAAATTGATTTTTCTCTGCACTTACAGCACATCTGCAGGGGAGATAAAGCAGAATCTAAGAGTGAGAAATTGCTTGATTTTGGTCCAGACATTCTGTAGTATAGCTGCTCAGTCACCACCCCCAACACAACTCACAATTCCCTTTCGATCCTGCAGCACTTCTGGTGGCACCATCCTGGTCAATAACTTCATAGCATACCTCACTGCCCTTTGCCTTTTTGAGAAAGGCCATTCTCTGCCACCTGGTCATGTGCTTCAACATCCTAGAGAGTCAGGGCAGTCCAAAGGGAATGGAGAGAGGTTTAGTATCCAGCTTGCCCGCAGAGACCTCCCACCCCCTGCTAAGCTCTCCAACTCCACACAATCTCCTCCAAGGCAAAGCCTAAACTGAAAAGTCAAGCCAGGAACATAATTCCCAATACTCCACTGCCTCCAAAGCACAACTGCACATTCAAACAGCTTATACTGCACGCCCTTGAAATCCCAGTCTAGACTAGGGTTGCCAACTTTGGTTAAATAAATTCCTGGAGATTTAATTTAATCTTTAATTAAAGATCAATCTTTAATTTCTGGGGACTCCAGAACAATCCTGGAGGGTTGGCAACCCTAATCTAGACCTCCACATGCACACAACTTACCATCTCTGAGGTCTCCCCCAAGACTGAGAAGAATCTCAGGAAGGGGAAATCAGAAATACATGTTAAAAATGCTATCAGAGCCTCTGTGGAATAGAAGCAATAACTGTTTGGTTTTTTCCCCTACTCCTTCGGTCATGGCACCCATAGTGGCCAGACCATCAAGGACAGGGCCTTGTCAATAGCTGTGTGGTGGACTAACTTGAGGGGGAAGAAATAGAGAACTCAGGATGAAATGTTCTCAGACCTCATTGCAGACTCCTCAGAAACTATGGAAAACTACAGAGAGCTGGAGGTTGTTTTTGAAGTCTGAGATGGAGAAAGACAGGAAGCTACCCAGAGAAAACACTGAAGTGGCCAGGGACAGCGTCGCCATGGCAAAAAACACTAGAGACAGACCGGGAGATAATTCAGAGGCAACTCCTGCAGGCAATACAGAAGCAGAACGCTCTGCTGAAGAAGTGCATATTGTTTGTGGGCACGTGGACAATCTAGTGCCCTCAGCCAGGACCTAGCCATGTTCTGCAGCTCCTGGACAATACAGGGTACTGGGAACACCAGCATGTTTCCCACTGTGCTCCCAGAGCCATGTTCCCAGAGGCCAGGGCCCCAGCTCAGGGCAGCAAAAATAATTGCATAGGGACCCTGGCTCTTTTGAGTCATCTAATGCCCCTGATAATTTTGAGCCCTGAGACTCAGCACCAAAAGACAGATGAACAAGAAGAGACAGAGGGCAAGACTTATAATCACCTGTGACCTGGAGTCCCCCCCTTGTTGTGTGCTGCCCTCCACTGCTTCACTTTAAAACTGTGTTTCATTTTTGTTTTAATTAAAGGTTTATTGCTAGCTGTTATATAAGAAATTGTTTAATAACCCATTACAATTAATTCATAAAAAAAATCTGCAATGTGGTACACATTCTGGTACACAGAAACTACTATGAATTTTACATGTCACAGGTTTTTACAAAAGAGACTGCAGTGTTCACAGTCTATCCCCTGCCTCCACCACCTGGGATAGCAGCTGGATGTTTGGTTGAACATTTTCAGGCCTCAGACTCAAAATAAGAGCAATAGGCATTCCTGACAGTATGGGCCTGGCTGGTTCCATTTTCTAGTAGACACCTTACTGGCTGCTCAAACCAAGGAAGTCTCTGCATCCCACCCTTCGTTAAAGCTTTCTCTGTTACTCTCACAAATGTTGTGCAAAATAGAACATGCAGCTATAATCTTAGGTGAGCTCTTTTTATGTAGCTTCCAACCTAGTCCATAAACAGCCCCCCCTGCCTTTCAGGTGACCAAATGCACATTTCACTGCCATTCTGCAACTACTCAGGTGATCCTTAAACTGTTCCTTCCCTCTGTCCAAATGCCCTGTGAATGGCTTCATTAATCAGGGAATCAGAGGATAAACTGGGTCTCCTAGGATAACTGGCACAATCTCCACAACATTAATGTCCATAGTGATCCTGGAGACAAAGTCTCCTTTATTCATTAAGGTAAATACAGCTGAGTTCAGAAAGATCCTACCATTGTGGACCTCCCTGAATTTGTTTGTGAATCTGCCATGTTGGCCAACCAGGCCTTGGACCACCAGGGAGAAAAACCCCTTCCTGTTTATAAGCTCCAAGCCCTGGTGTGGGTGCAAACAATAGGCACTTGGATCTCATCAGTTGTTCCAATACAGTTTGGGAACCCCATGAACACAAAGCCACCAATAACCTCCTGAGCATTACCCAGCTTTACAACCCAGAGCAATCCGGTGCAACACACATGCATGACAGTGGCACCAACTGTCAGTCTCTCTATGCCAGATTGGCTACAGACTAGTAATATTCGGGGTTGGCCAGCTTCCAGAGGGCAATGGTGACCTGCTTCTCAATGGGTACATGCCACTGCATGTTGGTACTTTGTCACTGCAGCTCTGAGACTTGCATAGCACAGATCTAAAAAAAAAAAATTGCCTTTGCCATCCTCAAATTTAGTCTTCCCAGGTCTGCAGGCTGATCCTTTCCCACCAGTTGACACTTGTTTCTGAATCCAGCAATGGCGCTGCACTGTGTGAAGCTGCTTCAGGAAGAGTTCATGTAGTAATAGTTACCTGGTGTCATTCTCATCTTCCTCTGTCGGCTACTGAAGAAGCCGCTGCTGCAGCCACTTCATCCACTCGGTGCAGCAGGCAAAGTCCAAAACCAAAGTCACTTGGCTCTGAGAGCTCACATAAAGTACAAGCAGCCTCTGTGTCTTCACAATTGCCAGCAATGTGGCGCAGAGCATTATTTACTCCTGGGGGAATTCTGTGCCAAAAAAATTAAAAATTCTGTTCACAATATTTTTAAATTCTGCATATTTTATTTGTCAAAACAACAATATAATCACACCAGTTTCAATTATTTTGATCATTTATTTCAAAATAAATGTCAGCAAGTATGTCTGTAGCAATAGAGACAACAAAAAAGATTCAGAAAATGTTTTTTGACAAATAGATTCCTTACTAGGCATATTAATACAGAGCTCTGAGTAATAATTAATTTAAACTACAATACAGAACCATATTTCCCACACTCCCCAGAAGCAGTGCAAAGGCTTGGGGGAGTCAGAGGTAACGGAGAAGCTGAGGGAGAGGGAAATAATTGCTGGGAAGGAGCCTGGGTGTGAACTTGGAGGGTTGTTGGGTATGGATGGGGAAAATATGGAACAGGTTTTTTGCAGGGGTGGGGAAGGACTGTTAGAGAGCTTCCTATATGCAGACCCTGGCCTCTCCTATTCAGTCAGGCACATGTGTCCCTCCATTTCCACTCAGACACCCACTCTCCCCAACCCCATGTGGCCCTGCACTCACTCTCCCTGTGCCCATGTGTCTCTTGGCCCCCCACTCAGCCACCCTCTGTGGCCCTGCACCCCTCCCCTGTAACCATGTGGCTCTGTGCCTCTCTCCCCCCCTGTGGTCCTCCACCTCCACTCCCATTCAGCCCTGCCCCAATCTGTCCTCCCCCACTAGCCCTAATGATCCCCTGTTTGATCCCCCAGCAGCCCAATGCTGTCAGTCTCCCCATAGTCCCTCTCTCCTGACCTGGCGTGACAGGCACTGCGAAGAAGGCTCTCTCTCTTCCCTAGCTGGCTGGGAGCAGCTGCTGTGTTCTATCACCAAAGCGCCCTCTGGTTCTGCAGCAACTTTTCAGCAGAAGCTTTTTTCTGTGCAAAAAATTAAAAATATGCACAGCTCATGCAGTGGCACAGAATTCCCCTAGGAGTTGTAGAGGTGCAGACTCACCCCTACAGCGCCTCCTGCTGGTGACTTCCAGGAATTAACTCTTCCAGCATCCTGGAGTGCCCTCTGCAGGCCAGTGGTCCACCTGTCCTCTGGCCCCCATGTCCCACCCTGTACCCCAGTGCCCTTTTACCTGGGGTGCTGCCCCCTGGCAGTAACCCCTCAGTCTTAGGGTCCCCCTCCCCAGGAAACCCCCACCCACTATTCCCACCTCGCCTCAGTATAAGGCTATTACCAGTCATTGTCTAGCCCCATGCACTGGGGCAGACTGCAGTATCAGCCCCTCATCATAGGCAAGGTTGGGTTTGGACTGACTGCCTTTACTCACCCTCAGGCTACCCTTCTGCAAGCCCAATACCTAGGTGGGCCTAGAACTAGGCCCTGCAGCCTGGGGAGTTACTGGCCTAGGGCTTCCCAGCTCCTAAGGCCTTTCCCCAGCCCTGCCTCACTCTAGGTCCCCTGGGTGAGTTCCCAAGCAGCCAGGCCATCTCCTTCTTCAGTCAGAGAGAGGCTCCTGACTCCCAGCCTTTTATATAGGGCCAGCTAAGGCCTGATTGGGGTGTGGCCCAGCTGCAGCCACTTCCCCCAATCAGCCAGGGTTTTGCTCCCTTTCACAGCCCCAGCCCTCTGCAGGGCTTTTCCAACCCCTTCAGGGCTGGAGTGGGTGTTCACCCCTCTACAGAGTAATTATTGGGTACATGCTGGCTGTCAGCAGTTTGCAAATGGCGCTAGCCTGCCCTGAAAGAGAGGAATCATGGGAGTTTTTGAATTTGACCCCACTCCCAGAATTCCACTGGCTTCCACCTGCCTTCTGCTAGGCATCCCACATAGGGTGACCAGACAGCAAATGCGAAAAATCAGGATGGGGTGGGGGGTAATAGGAGCCTATATAAGAAAAAGTCCCAAAAATCAGGACTGTCCCTATAAAATCAGAACATCTGGTCACTCTAATTCCACAATATTCAGTGAGAAAAATCCCAGAATGCACATATCTCAGCAGCAAAGCAAAGGATCATGGGATATGCTTGCAGAACGCCAAGTACAGCTGATTTTTAAAAGAAAAAATTCCACTTAGGCCAGATACTCTATATCTGTATTTTAAAAAATGAGTTTAAAAAACCTCAAATAATTCATTTCAATTAAGTTTATTGGCTACATTTGACTTATCTGTAGTTTATCAGGGATATAAACCAAGTAATCAAGTGAAATGAATGCCCAGAAATCAGTCTACCTTAAGAAAAGCTAATCTATATAATGTGGTGGTGTATTTGTAAAACTTTAACAATAACACAGAAATGACTCCTCCCTGTCACAGGCATCTGTGATTAAGGAAATTATAATGTGAATATGACATGACCTTTGAAATGCAAACTGGGAGGTTATAGTGAGCATAGCTTTGGAAACATTGCTGAAGTCTGCCAGATTGATTAACATCTGTGATCCTATTGACACTAAGCCTGGTGTCTGCCTTTTTTGACTTCTGCTTAGCTCTTGCAGACCAAAGGATGACATACAAATGCAGGTAGGAGAGTTAGAAAAATATACCTTCTGCTGCAGCACATTAGTTTGTTTTGTCTTTTCAAATCTGCAAACCTATTAATCTATAACTGACTGCGCCACTACAGATTTGACATGCAGTATACTGCTATGAACTTAGAACATACTTTTTGAAAATATCTGGTTATCTATATAGATTCCAGAGACCTAGGGGAGGGTTTTATTTAAGATGCATTAAACATTAAACTATTGTATTTTGATTGTTTTATGATTACTATGTCCACTGAACCATGTGGTTAACTTGTTTTTGTGTACTGTGTTGTCTTAATTTTATTCTCCCATTTCTAAAAATATCACTGTGAATATTATTTGCAATATAGAGGTAGTAAACTCTTAAAAAACACATGTATTTATGACTATTTAGTGGGAATAAATGTAGATAAGTAGCAAAGCAGAGAATAAAGCAAACAGGTTATAAATAATAGATTTCAGTTAGTTAATTTCTGTAGCCTGTATTCATTCTTTGCAGAAGGTAACATAATAAGCATGTAAAAAAGTAGAGCCTTGTGAACCTTTTCTAACAGAACCTGACAAGTGCATTGAATGTTATCAAACTTAGCCCAGTTTAGAGCCATCCTTTTCCCGTCTAGTTTACGATAGGCTTCCTCCATCCTGCAACAGGCTCTGGGATATTGCCATTTAAGGTATTTCAGGCCATGCAAGATAAGCAGTCGTTGTAGCAAGATCCAAGGGAGTCTTTTGGATCCCAGTGTTGCTGGGAGTTATTTGTGGGATAGGAATCTTTGGGAGAGGGAGGGGTTTATGATTTTGAGTAGAAACTATGCAAAAATTGATGAATTTGTGTGGTTTTCACTCTAAACTAAGTGAAACTTGACGTTTGTGTGTACTCTGTACAGGTTATTATTATATAATTCCATATTCGGCCAATATATATAGCTTTGGACTGAGTTGTGGTGTTTAGATGCTGCATGTGATTATTAGAACTGGGAGCACTGGCTATTGGGAGTCTGAAAGAACAGGAAGGAGGGGGGAGGAGTTGAGGAGGCTGGGAGAGTTACAGAGTGTGCAGCTACAGCTTGGTAAAGAGATTTCCACTGTAAATAAAGTTCTGTTGAAGTTTGTTAATACCTTGCCT